TTTCTGGAAAACAGCTACTCTAGGATAGGGGGGATTTGGGGAATTTACCCTAGTATAGGGTAGCAAAATTCAGCTGAACTAGCTCTGGTATAGGTTTAGGGTTCCAGGATCCCAGCGGCACATCCCCACCCAGAAATTCCTAAAGTACCCCCCCCCCCGGGTCTCAACCTCCTTCTTAGAGCGCGGTTGCACAAACACCCATGCCTGCCCCCCATGCCTTATTAGTACATACCTCTGAACTGTTCCCGCAAATTTAAGGTGTTGCATAACAAGACTGGTAGATTAAGATATTAAATAAGGTACTGAATATCAACGTGATCGGTGCGTTATCTAATTAAAATGTTGGCAGGTATACAATGTAGATGTTGATGTGGTTTTTCATTTCTTTCTTTTTGCTCAGGTATTTTGTGTATTTTTTTGACTTAGTAATCTTTGCCAATGCCATTTTCATCGCGCTGGAGCGAAACGATGCGGAAGTTCTGTTCCTGGTTCTATTCAATATAGAAATATTACTTAAGCTGTATACTTACGGCTGTAAGGAATTCTTCTCTCTATACTGGAACATGTTAGTATTCACTCACTTTTTATCTGTTGTTTCAACTCAATCTCCTATACTATTTTGTACTTTGTTTTGCCAGACTTCTCTTATTATCCCGGCCAGCAAAATACTCTTTATCCTTTCCTTTCAGAGTCTTTAGAAATTTTTAGAATAGCTCTTTACGGCACTGGAACTGGGCAAATGTGAATTTATACTACGTGACCAAGTTTTCCCTTACATGTAACTTGCGCTTTCCTGTTCATTACTTCTGCCCCCAAATTAGTACCTTCACGTTAGTTTTGTCTTTAACAATTGTTTTGGGCTGTTTTTAGCTGCACGTTTGCTATTGAGAAATTCTCAACTTGAATCTGACGTTTGCCGTCTGCCGTAAACGTCACTCTAGAGTGACAAACACTTGAAATATAGTTAGCGATTTTATCTCCATTTTGTTAAGTTATTTAACGACTGTTCTATATTTTGTTCTTTCAGATTTGATTTTTTAGTCATAGGCAGTGCAACATTAGCCCTCATCATTGAAACTTCTTATGAATCGTGTAGGTGGAATTCATGTAACAGTGATATACTTAATGTAATCATTTAACACGATAACTTATTCGACTCCGTCAACTTACGACCTTTTGCAGCCTGTTTCACTGGCCGCTTTTTCTTGCAACTTTACCCACAGTTTTGTGACAAAAACATCTAAAATGAAAAATTCCTATATTAAGACTAAAAGGGAGAAAGACAGAAAAAACAAAAAGAAATAAAGAAAGTTTGATCCTCAATCTCAATATAACCATATCTTTGACTGTCTATTGGTTGGACACCATTCTAATATAAGACGGTCACTTGTACCATTTCCAACTGTGTCCCTCTTAGAGAGCGTTGACTGTATACTTTTGTTATTTCTCTTTTAATAGTGCAGTCGAGTCAAGGCGTGTTGGATTTTCTTATGGTCCTTCGAGTTCTTAGATTGGTCAAGATCATGGGTCAAATCAAACGGTTTGTCGGATTTCTTTTCAAAAATCTCCATCCGTTACACGTAATTAATATCTGACGCGTCTCAGCGTAGCCTCCCCGCAGACGTCCTTTGGGGTTCGTTTGTCACGCATTCATTTCTCCCCCACGGAATGAAGGCGTGACAAACGAACCCCAAAGGACGTCTGCGGGGAGGCTAGTCTCAGCGAAGTCAAATCCACTTTTTCACTTTTCAGTTATTTTTATCCATACATGATATAAACAGTCTTGTTTTCGGAGGATACATTTTTCTTTATGCTACTCCAGCCTCGTACTCATGTTTTTTGAGGCCACCAGGTCCAAGTAATTGTCGTCTTTCAATTGTCAAAAAGGAATTTCTGCTATTCTTCAAAAATGCTAACTGCCAATTTATTTTTATAATGTTCAGACTTGGGAGTAGAGCTTGCCACACAAACTTTTCTTTCTTTTTTCAAAAAAAAATTAGCCGTCTGCTAAATTTGTTCTTTTCCGTCTATTTTATGAACAAAAATAATATGTTCACTCACAGTAGACACACGGCAACTGTGTCAGTGTGATGTTTACAGAAGACTGAGAATTCAACAGACAAGCAATTTATAGGGCGAATGACCGCCTAAGTTCCATAAGGCTGTGCATTTACGTATTCTAGTTATATTTATTGGAGAAGTTCGTTTTAAGACTCTTCCTTAAGGTTTCATTGAGTTTCAGGACACTCGAAAATAAAGAAGGCACGCTGGAGCCCGGTTGCTTTCAGTTTTCCGTGTTTGGTAGCCCGGTCAAACGCTCCCATTTGAAATATAATCGAGCCTAGCCTGGAAACATGCCCACATAGTCCTCTGAATGATGGTTTTGTGAAGGTTAGGGACAATGCTATTGTCCTGTTTTATTTTTTTAGTATTTTTTTCAAACAATAGGTGTATTTTTTACTTAACTAATAATAATGACCAGCTTGATACGGACACTTTCTATGGCCCTGTGAAGGTCCCGGCATAAAGGACGTTTGATTGTATTACTTCATCGTTTTTTCATGTCATTTTTTGGCCAGATTTCAGGTCGTTGTTGGAACCGTCATGCAGATTGGCCCGGCAATGGGCACGTATGGTGCAATTATGTTCGTAAGTCTAATATCTGTGTTATTAAATAAAATGCTTGTAAATTTTCGTTAAAAATAAAACTTGGGTTGCTCGTCACTTCTTAAAATATGCTCCTTAATGACGCCCTTTCCTAACCCTAACCCTAACCCGTTCGAATTTTCCAATAAAACATATGTTAAACTACTTCGAAGAAAGAAGGTTTTAGGTCATTCTCGTTTTACCTTTACCCGGTTCAAGTGCGCACCTTTTCACTCATATTCTTTGTTTGTTTCCACGTGGCATGGATGCGATGACAGGTCCAAAAAATATAATTTCTCACAGAATTTGCATGGAAACATGGCCGCCGTGACGTCAGCAGTAAACTGGTCCAAGTAAAGACTTCTGGGAACGTTATTGGAGACGCGGTGGTCAGCTATTGGCCATTTTTTCCTCTGTCCCCAGTGACATCCCCAGTTGACCCAGAAGTAGCCTGCATAACGAGCGTTTCCGTTTGGTGTCGGAGCAAAGAAAGCCCGAGGAACGGGATTTTCGGTTTTGGCCGCACAAGAAATGGAACGAGAGCCAAAAAATGAAACTGAGGGAGGAGCGGGATGGTTAGGGTTACTTGCTCTATTTTTCGTGTGGTGTTTGACTCTCGCTCCTCGTTCTTTGCTCCGAAACCGCACAGAAACGCCTGCTACGCAGGCTATCCCAAAAGTCTTTACTCTCATCCACACGCAAATTTACTTCATTTTCTAGCCTGCGTAGCAGGCGCTTGGAAGTAGTTGGCGCAAAAAAGAACGGGCGCGCGAGAGGGAGACACGCGAGGGGAGAGGCGTGTCTCCCTTTCGCGCGCCCGTTCTTTCTTTCGCTCACTACTTCCAAGCGCCTGCTACGCAGGCTATTCATTTTCATGTTAGTGGTCGGCACCAGGCCTAGGGTTGAACCTAGCGAAATGTTTGGACCCCTTATTAAAAATTCTGGACCTGCTCCGTTCTAAAATGTATTTCGTTTATATTATTTGTAGGTCTTGTACTACATGTATGCCATTCTGGGAATGGAGTTATTCAGTGGTTTGATCAAATCGGAAGGCAGTTACCCTTCATCTGATAGCAACGGAACGAGTGAAGAAAATGTCACTGAGTTCTGTGGCAATATCAAGCTAAATGGTTCCGACTTTTATGCGGATCGCTATTGTAATAACAATTTTAATGACATTCTGAGATCGTTCAAGGTTCTGTTTGATTTGATGGTTGTAAATCAATGGCACAGTATCCTTTGAATCAATTTACTTTTGTTTATTTTAGATTAAACTTGAATTTATAGTTAGTTTCGTTATTGAATAGCGCAGCTCCAGGTACGTCGTCGCTGCTTAAGGATTCTGCGTCGGAAATATTTAGAGCTTTTTTGAGAATGTTTGGAAACTTATTAAGAGGGTACACCTACACCCCAGCCTCCTCCCCAGGCGCTTCGTTTTTCGCATCGTAGAAGCGAGCGCGAAACGCGAGTGACTGGTGATGCACTGCAAGGGACCATGGGAACGGTACAGACGGCAGGCGAAGCACGTCTCGCCCGTTGTCTCCTTCCCGCCTTCCTTTGCGCGCACATTTTCTTCGAGAGAGAGACGTCTGCGTACGAGGCAGCCTACACTCACTGCCAAGCACGGTAAACATATGTAAAGCGCGGGAAAATTTGGTTATGGTCATTTGAACTCTGTATAGCCGTGTTTGTGTTCTTTGATTCCTCTGTGACTTCACCATTTTAATTATAACTTTAACATGCTTCCAGTTATAACTCAAGGTTATGTTCGTGTTACAAACAAGTTTGCAAGGATTTATTTCCTGTCATTTCATCTTTTCTGTGTTATCGTGGTTCTCAAGTGAGTACTTTTTTTTAATATATAGCCGTCGCTTGTCAGCGTTATATTATAAGCCGTCAATTTTCGCCAATTACTTGATATCACCAGTTTTTGTTTTAACAGAAACGTCATAAGAACCCTTTTTTGAGGTGCAACAGTTTTCATACGCTGTTGAGGCGGCCGCCATTTACATTTAAACCTGTATTAAGCGGTCACCCCGGCGTGGGAATGGCCAAATGACCGTTTAATGCAGGTTGATGGTTATTATACAGGCTTAACAACCCTAGGAGCTTTAATAAAAAAATTAAGATAATAAAGCGAAATATCTATCATACGACAAAATTTAATTGACTTGATAGTGTTTCTACTTCTATGGTGTCAAAAGAAAAGTAAGAGTAGGAGACCACTAAAGCCCCCTGCAAACGGACGCAATATATTTGGCCAACAACTCCCAGCGCTCAGTGTTGGATTTTACATGTTGCGTCCGTCTGCACACCCTGTTGCTTGTTGCTGCGTGTTGTTGGGAGTTGCTGCATCCGTTTGCACACCACTACCAACACGGACACAACAACTCCCAACATTGTTGGCCCACCACTCGTTGGCACCTCGGAAAAGGTGACCACAACCGCCTAATAGATTTGACCACTTGATACAGGTCAGTCTAAAAATAATCAAGGGAAACTATTTTGACTGTAATAAGTTAAAAAAATCTTTTTCTTTGATTTTCAGTATATTTGTGGCATTCATCTTAGAAGCGTTTATGTTGGAATATTCATTCACCCACGGCAAAATAGAAACTGTCTTCAACAAAAAGATACAAGAAAAAGGCATAGGCGTGGGAATGTAAGTATTCTGTGTAACTATTATGTTTCGCCCGGCAGTGCGCGACTTTGCGGAGCTATATCTTCGTTCGTCTTCAAACTGAACCACTTTCAAAACTTGGCGACTCTAGTGATGTTACACGAGACAATTCGCAACGACGATTTTTTGCGCAACACAGCGTTGCAACATTGTCGCGACATTGTTTCAAATGGTTACAACATTGTTACAGCATTGCAACCCTGTGGGGCGCTAAAAATCGTCTTTGCGAATCGTCCCGGGTAACAACGCCTTTTAAGGGCGTTCTTTCCAGGCATGTTGACGGATTTTCGCTAACTGGTCTCAGTGAAAAGGTGAAAAAACTGTGAAAGGATCTATTGAAGATCGTTTGCCCCTGGTTCTGTAAAAACTGATTGAGTACGATTTAATTACCGGTTCTAGGTGCCCAGTGAAAGATAGAGCGGCGTCGATTCTTTCTCTCGACGACACCGATGAGGTGATAAAAGATCAGGGAAGCAATGGTTTTACGTCAGTAGAACACCTCGCACTGGACACCGGTTTAAGATTCAAAATGCCGAGCCAGCAGAAGAAAAATGCCGACCTTCTCCTACAGGAGATGTTTGAGGATGAGCTGGAGGAAGATGATATCGGACCAAAAGATGTAGAAGATTTAGATGAGCTTGATGAATTGGAAGATATCATAGAGGCACAGTCCAAGAGGAGACTCACCTTTCACACAGTTGATGCAGAGTAAACAATGAGCCATTTCCGAGTTCGAAAAACTCTCACTTTCAAGACGAGGCTAAGTTCAAAAGCTTTCATTTGTGAAAATGGCAAGATTTCATAGCTCAAAAGGAGGTTTGTGAGCCCGCGAGACTGAGCACCCTCACTCAAACCTTTTTTTTCACTAAAACCGCTAGCCACTGCCACCTCCTTTTGAGCTATGGACTCAAGTCTCTACCGTGGAAATGAATTTTATTTGCATGAGAATAACAAATTTTTTTCGTATCAATGGTTTCGCACGTAGCCTCGCTTTGCTGGTCTTCTCCCTTGCTTCGAGAGGTTTTTCTCCGGGTACTCCGGTTTTCCCCTCTCCCCAAAAACCAACACTTCCAAATTCCAATTCGATCTGGGACGCTCTGCCACGTTAAAACGAGTTCATACTTGCAGTTACAGAGGCTTGGGACAACTCGGAAGTTATTGTCCTTGCTTTTTCTTAGAACAAAAACCCTGCCTGGTACCCAGCAGCTTCTTAGGACTTTCTACAGTAGCCACGGTGCAAGAAGCCTTCCCTTGTACCTTTGCGTTTTTGAAGATTGCTCTTCCTACATGCTGAACGTGGTTTAGAGCCCAGAAATCGTATCAGAACTTTAATCTTTTGAAGTTTCCGTGTTTTCATTTCTGTCAAGGAGAGCTTTCTTATTATTTTCCCGCCGTCAGATTCTTTGACACCTCTTTGCACCACTTTCCTTTTAGGGGTCCTTTCTCACGAATAATAACCAGATCTGGGGCCGGGGTGAAATTATAGGCATCCCATTCTCAACAACAGCAAGCTTTATTTTAACGACCATACAAGTTCACATGCAGTACTGTAAAAGCTATTTCAAAGTAAAAAGTAGAAGAATTAAATTTGAATTCAATGACAATTAAGTTACTTTGTTACTAACTCGTCGCAAAAATCAAATCAAACTGAAATATATCTAATGAATTGTACATCAATACAGTAATAAGAGGAGCTCATCAGTTCATTAATCAAATCGTTTACGGGTAACTAGGTAATATTTGGAATAAGAGTCTAAAGTTTATTGTAAAAATTATTCCTCATTAGTGAACATCACCTTATATTTAATTAATTGGACCTACAAAGCGTGCTTTGTCTATCATCTCTAGTATCAATATGATTGTATCTGCCTAGTTCCTAATTCGCAATTCTCTTAGCCGTTCCTCTCAGTAAGTCTAAGTAATTAGAAGTGCTATAAGGCACACCTCCACCTCGAATTCTCAGGAATACTCCCCCCCCCTCCCCCCGCCCCCAGGAACGATGCGGCCGGCCGGAATTTCGCCTTTCGCGACTTTGGAACGGCTTTGATTGTGACGCCGCACTTAGCACTCGCCTAAGTTTCTGTTTTACGTTGGGTAACTTACGAGCCTTGACTCACTTTATTTTCTAAGTTAACCATCGGTGAGTGTAAAGAAAGTGTTAAGTCGTTTCGAGCACCTTAAAACAAAAGTTTGCATGCAATCCTACTAGGCTGCAAGTCACAAAATTTTTGCGCAACATCTCCTTACGCTTTCGACATCTCAGAACAAAATAGTTCAAAGTCTTATTATGACCAAACCCGACGTTAATATTCCAAATATTTTTGATGCATTTGATCCCTGGACTTCAGACATCCCAATTTCGATGAGTTAAAAATACTGAAGATTCAGATTAACTTTTGAAAGTTAAAAGTGCGATTAAGTGCCGTGCTAGCAGAGCTTTCTTTCCCACATGCCTCTAACCTTGGCGTTGCAAAAGACGTTCGCATGACAGACATTCGCCTCGCTTCGCTCGTTTACTTGCCTTGTTTACGTTAACACGTATTGAGTGTCTAGTGCAACTTTGCGTCAAAAAAAGCCATTACGATTACTCTATTTGGGCCAAGCCCAAATAAAAATAATCGAACGCCTAAAGACACCTTGAGGTGATGTTACATGCACGAGACGATTCGTAACGACGATTTTTAGCGCAACACAGCGTTGCAACATTGTTTCGAATGGTTATAACATTGTTCCAGCATTGCAACGCTGTGTTGCAATCGTCTGTCGTTGCGAATCGTCTCGCAGAACATCACCTTTAAATCGAATAACCTCTTGTTTTTCTCTGTGACAGCAGCTGAGTTTGCAGGAAAACTACTAACACTGACGCTATTTAGAGTGGCTGATACAATACTTTACAGTTCCAAGAACTGATAAACCTGTGGTGCTCTAGGTTTCCCAACTAACTGAAGACACTTCAGATCGAATTGGACTTTGGAAATGTTGGGTTTTGAGGCGAGAGGAAATCTGGAGTACCCGGAGAAAACGTCTTGGAGCAAAAGATAAACCCTACAACAAACTCAAACTACATGTACAACACAGCGTCGATGCAAGGACTCAGGCACCCAGCCACATTGGTGGGAGTCGAGTGATCGGTGGAGATCGCCTCTTGCATGTGAGGATCAGGATTTGCTTTCTCTGGGATGAATGCCGGACTACTCGCTGAAAATCTGACAATTGAGTAACGGAAACTACGTTTGATTTCATTGTAAACTTGAATTTAGGGGCATTTTAGGTTGTTCTTTTTGTTTTCAGAGGGATATAAATAAAATAAAGTCGTTAGATTGTTGTAAGGGATTGCTGCAGGGTTTAACTATCAATATTAAACATTTTTTTGGTCTAATCTCCGCGTTTTAAATTTAAGCTGTTCGAAAAAAATGCCGGGATTTATTGATTTACGTCGTCACCGTTCTCACCCTCCCCCATACTATGCCAGCGTTAAATGCAATGCAACTCCAGAGAGATGATTTAGCACCATGAGGAGGGTGAAAACATTCGTGCAATCTATGATGATGACAAGCAACCATCATCTCTAGCATTAATGCACTAGGCATACAAGCTCATACAGAGAGATAAATTGACACCCAGAGAGAGAGCAGAACCGGTTCTGTACGAAGAAGCCAAAACTGACTTTATTCATTTTCTGAGGACACTCCTTTCAGAAGCTGATTGTGACATTACTCTTTTGCTACTATATACATAAGACTTTTACATTAAAAAGAAAAAATGTGACCGTCTACACCAACCAAGAACAAATTAGACATTTTCCTCAAACTTTGAATTGGCGTTGCTACTAATTTCCATACATGACCTATTTTACTTGCCTTTGTTCCTAAAGAGAATAAAAAGCAAACAAACTTAGACACAGTTCATTTTACTGATTGGCCTTTTGCAGTTGCCTCTCCAATACAAGCCGAGACTGGCTATCCTGGCCAGAAACAAGATTCTCTCTACCCAGCTACCTGCTGAAGCACGCCATCACATGTAAGGTTTCAATTGACGAATTATTCGTTAGCACTAAAAGGGAGCTTAAGCTCGGGCGTTTTTGAGGGAGGGACGTCAACCTGAAATAGACTTTTTACATCATTGAGCAGTAGTGTGGTTGAAACTCGCGGGTAAATCGTCTTTATAAGAGAAAAGAAACTTTGACTAACAAATTTGTTAGCGTCAAGGCATATGAAAAGGGAGAAGGCCTCACTTCCGGTTGACGTGCGTCGCTAAAAAACGTCTTTGCTTAAGTTCCTTAATATTTCAACAGTTTGGCTGTATTACCCTTTCTTACCTGTACGCTTATTTATCACCTATGAAGTCCAAACACTTTGACATCTGTGATGGTGAAATCACTGCTGCCAGTAAAAAACTCCTTCTGTTGTCCTGGTGGGCACTGATAGGTTCCGCCAAGAGTGCTGCCTCCACGCCTGTGTGCATTTTGTCTTAATACGCATAGGTCTTGCCCTTGACCAAACACTGGTCCACAGTCATAATAACTAATGATAGCAAACTGTTCCCTCCCATTAATTAGCGGCATTTTGGTCGGTCCCAGACCACTCGGGTTGACTAAGCTGAACAGAAATGCTCGGCAGCATGGCAGGTAACTTCGGGTTATTCTTTCATGTTACGCTTACGCCAAATAACCTACTGTTTCATATAACAGTAATAGAATGTCCATTCTCATGTATACCCTGTATACCCTGTATACTCTGTATACCCCTGTATACTCTGTATACCCCTGTATACCCTGTATACCTTGTATACCCTGTATACCCATGTATACCCATGTATACCCTGTATACCCATGTATACCCTGTATACCCATGTATACCCTGTATACCCTGTATACCTTGTATACTCTGTATACCCATGTATACCCTGTATACTCGTATACCCATGTATACCCTGTATACCTTGTATACCCATGTACTCCCTGTATACTCATGTATACCCTGTATACCCTGTATACTCATGTATACCCTGTATACCCTGTATACTCATGTATACCCTGTATACCCTGTATACTCATGTATACCCTGTATACCCTGTATACTCATGTATACCCTGTATACCCTGTATACTCATGTATACCCTGTATACCCTGTATACTCATGTATACCCTGTATACCCTGTATACTCATGTATACCCTGTATACCCTGTATACTCATGTATACCCTGTATACCCTGTATACTCATGTATACCCTGTATACCCTGTATACTCATGTATACCCTGTATACCCTGTATACTCATGTATACCCTGTATACCCTGTATACTCATGTATACCCTGTATACCCTGTATACTCATGTATACCCTGTATACCCTGTATACTCATGTATACCCTGTATACCCTGTATACTCATGTATACCCTGTATACCCTGTATACTCATGTATACCCTGTATACCCTGTATACTCATGTATACCCTGTATACCCTGTATACTCATGTATACCCTGTATACCCTGTATACTCATGTATACCCTGTATACCCTGTATACTCATGTATACCCTGTATACCCTGTATACTCATGTATACCCTGTATACCCTGTATACTCATGTATACCCTGTATACCCTGTATACTCATGTATACCCTGTATACCCTGTATACTCATGTATACCCTGTATACCCTGTATACTCATGTATACCCTGTATACCCTGTATACTCATGTATACCCTGTATACCCATGTGCTCCCACTATACCCTGTATACTCATGTATACCTCGTATACCCTGTATACCCTGTATACTCATGTATACCATGTATACCCATGTACTCCCAGTATACCCTGTATACTCATGAATACCCTGTATACCCATGTATACCCTGTATACCTTGTATACCCTGTATACCCATGTATACCCTGTATACCTTGTATACCCTGTATACCCATGTATACCCTGTATACCCTGTATACCTTGTATACTCTGTATACCCATGTATACCCTGTATACTCGTATACCCATGTATACCCTGTATACCTTGTATACCCATGTACTCCCTGTATACTCATGTATACCCTGTATACCCTGTATACTCATGTATACCCTGTATACCCTGTATACTCATGTATACCCTGTATACCCTGTATACTCATGTATACCCTGTATACCCTGTATACTCATGTATACCCTGTATACCCTGTATACTCATGTATACCCTGTATACCCTGTATACTCATGTATACCCTGTATACCCTGTATACTCATGTATACCCTGTATACCCTGTATACTCATGTATACCCTGTATACCCTGTATACTCATGTATACCCTGTATACCCTGTATACTCATGTATACCCTGTATACCCTGTATACTCATGTATACCCTGTATACCCTGTATACTCATGTATACCCTGTATACCCTGTATACTCATGTATACCCTGTATACCCTGTATACTCATGTATACCCTGTATACCCTGTATACTCATGTATACCCTGTATACCCTGTATACTCATGTATACCCTGTATACCCTGTATACTCATGTATACCCTGTATACCCTGTATACTCATGTATACCCTGTATACCCTGTATACTCATGTATACCCTGTATACCCTGTATACTCATGTATACCCTGTATACCCTGTATACTCATGTATACCCTGTATACCCTGTATACTCATGTATACCCTGTATACCCTGTATACTCATGTATACCCTGTATACCCTGTATACTCATGTATACCCTGTATACCCTGTATACTCATGTATACCCTGTATACCCTGTATACTCATGTATACCCTGTATACCCATGTGCTCCCACTATACCCTGTATACTCATGTATACCTCGTATACCCTGTATACCCTGTATACTCATGTATACCATGTATACCCATGTACTCCCAGTATACCCTGTATACTCATGAATACCCTGTATACCCATGTATACCCTGTATACCTTGTATACCCTGTATACCCATGTATACCCTGTATACCTTGTATACCCTGTATACCCATGTATACCCTGTATACCCTGTATACCTTGTATACTCTGTATACCCATGTATACCCTGTATACTCGTATACCCATGTATACCCTGTATACCTTGTATACCCATGTACTCCCTGTATACTCATGTATACCCTGTATACCCATGTACTCCTTGTATACCTTGTATACCCTGTATACCCATGTACTCCTTGTATACCCTGTATACCCTGTATACTCATGTATACCCTGTATACCCATGTATACCTTGTATACACTGTATACCCCTGTATACCCATGTACACCCATGTATACCGTGTATACCCTGTACTCCATGTATACCCTGTATACCCATGTATACCCATAGATACCCTGTATACCCAGGTACTGTCTGTATACCCTGTATAGTCATGTACAAAATGTATACCCTGTATACATTTTATACTATCAGTCAGTTATATCTAGTTATTAAATGCAATTACTAATTAGTACGCGCAAAACATTACAAATAGATAATAGATCTTGAATTAATCAGGGGTAGAAAATTTGCCAAATTACGTGATATTTCATCCATTTTGGCTTGCCAAATATGAAACCGTGATAACAGGAGACAGTAGTTTAGTTGACACGAGTATTATGTAGAACGAGGCTCAAGCCCAGTGCAGTAATGTCCAATAAGTCGTATTTGCCAATTAACGGAAGAGCGTTTTTAAGTCATTCGGTTACGTTTTTCTAAAAAGGATGTAACATGGCAAGACCAAAAAAGATGAATTAGCGTCTCTGAGGAATTGTTGCAAAAGGCATATATGTCATTTTCTTTTCGTCTTATTTTAAGTCAGAAATAATTGGTTGGTATGCTCCTATGTAATAGTATAAATTGGAACTCTATCAGTTTGGTGCTTTTTGCGCACCGTACTTTGCGCCATAAAATAGGCAAGTTCACAGTTAAATGTTCCTTCTTCGTCTGAGTAGTTACAGTCTTGAAGTCATTTTAGTTGGCTTTTACGTGCGGTTAAACTATTGGCTCTGGTCAGTTTTTGGTAAATTAATGGACCTAGCTTTTCTCTTTTAACAATTCAGTTTTCACTCAGTGTTTCAAAGTTATAGTCTTTTGTCTCAGCAGTATCGGTAACATTTTTGCGAATGCGTTGAACAGCTGATAGTAAACCGTAAAAACTGAGCGGGCGTACTCTTAAATCATGTTTGGAGGCAAAATCTTTGAGAGTCAGAAAATTACCGTTTCCCGTCTGGACGTGTTTAACTTTGGAGACACTTACTTCAAACCACTCTTTAAAAAAGAAATTGTTCATTATCTATCCTAAAGAGTTGAACCACAGAACCTGTTCTTGAAAAGCGATATCAGAACTTACTTTATCCACAAAGTTAATTTCTTTCCAATATTCCAATTTTTCTTTGGTTACGGGGTCCGTTGCCCTAATCTCTTTCATAGTGTCAGAGACGTTGAGTCTCAACGGTTGAGATTACCACGGAAAATGAGATCGCGGCCGTAGTTCTCCAGTTATAGATCAAAGATAACGTTCCATTTTCCGTTTTTAGTAGTGTCCAAGTACTTTTTAACCCATGTTGTTTTAACAGATTTGTTGAAAGAATAAAGGTCAAGCATCTTCAGACCTCCATACTCAGGTTCATTGATCATAACTTTTCTCTTGATTTTGTCACCTTCACCATTCCATAGAAAATGGTAAAACATGTTATTTATTTCCTTTGTAGCGTAATGATTAGGGTTAACCCTAACATCGTCATCAAAACTGTACTTTTTTTCTCTCGTAGGTGTAATACGTTTGCAGAAAAATAAAAATACAAGGAGTGGATTGTATCTGTCTTTCCCTCAACTTTCTAAATGCGGCTGTGGGCAGTCCTAACGACAAAAGATGCATTCAACAAATGGAATCTGCCATTGGTAACCAGGTGCAGCTGACGCCATACAAAACCCGTCAAAGGTTTTTGAGTCCAGAATCCGACGAAGATCATTTTAAGGTAACATGTTTATTGATAACCATCAAGAGAGAATATCTCTCTTGTAACCATACAACCTGTGCATGCGGGGTAAGAATTGGTCACAGGAAGTTAAGTAGAACAGCACGGTTTTCACTGTACGTTAGACTGATTAGTTCCGTTTTCATGGCGAACGATTACGTATGCCAATCCCAGCTCGATGTCTAATCTTCAATACAAATTTTTGCAGATAATGAAAGGTGTAGACGTCGTTGGTAGGACCCAGTTTCTTAGGGCATTGGGACTACCCGAACATCTCTTGCCAGCTTCTCTGAAGCGAATTGCTCAAGGCATGAAAGTTTCAGATGAATGCGAAGGTAAATTAATAATAATCACGCAATTAATTAAATTAAAGGAAGATCGAAACTATTGACATAACTAATCAGTCATTGAGTGAAAACACTTCACTGAAGCGCATCCGGTACATGCGCGGAAACACGTTTATAAATTACCATGAATGTGTTATGTCCTCGTATTTTGAAGTGATCAAAACAAAAAAACTGGGCGAGTGGACATGACTGTAAATCTGTCTGAATAAACCTGCCATGCACAGCGCCAGAGATGTGTGTGACACCTGCATTCAACAGGTCTGTATTAAGAGGTCGCGTTCACCTGTAAATATTAAGTTCCAAAGAGTGTATTTTTCCTATTTCAAGTTGCATTGCACTGGTCTCTTCATGAAACTCAACTAGTTTAAGGCCTGGGTATAAGCTTACTGTGGAAAAATGCTTTATTGGCTATAACTTTGGCAAGGAAGATGGTAGTGAATCGATATCTGGTACACAGAAAGGTGTCATCCTCCTTAACATTTTGAAGAACTGTTTATCTTAAATTACGTCACGTTGTGTGTCACGTGACCATTTTTCTTAAAATTTTTAGCTTTTGACAATGTGGTGATGAGTTTGGGAGGAGAAATCAAACAATAGCATTTTTCTGATTTAGATTATATTTCTAAAAGCCACGTTTGGAATGACCGTCCATAAAACTTTAGAAACAAATTATTAGCTAAAACGTTGTTTAAGAGGTCATAATGTAGACTTTCAGGTTTACACCATCATATTAATCACGTTTACGTTTGTACGTTAATGGGATATCAGTGACTGGGGATGAGCCATTTCGCGCTTTCAATTGTTCTATTCTTTCTACTTCAGATGATACAACCGCTATTACTATCAGCGAAGAACCAGGAGACAACATTGAAACGGGTATAGAATTAATATTGAAATACGTAGTAGTTATGTTTAAAAACAGTATATAACAGTATATGAAATATTGTTTCTACTTCAGATGATACACCCGCTGTTACTATCAACCAAGCACCAGAAGACAACATTGAAACGGGTATAGAATTAATATTGAAATACATAATAGTTATGTTTAATAACAGTAATGAGTGTATACATAATGCTTTTCAAAGGTAAACGTAAGAATAGAAATTTTGTTGTCCCCATAGGAATGCTGTAATTATGATTGATCAAAAACGGCGCTCAGTTGATTTTTTTTTGTTAGGTTCGAATTCCTTTGATCCAATTGTCGTAGAGGAAAACAAAGGAGAGGAAATGGTAAATGTTTTTTGTTTGTTTGTTCGTTTTAAAAGAAAAGTGGTGTTAGGTCCAGTTTTTCTGCCATAGGCGTACCCAAAGGTGAACCATATTGGATTTTAACAGGAGTATAAATTTCTGTCTGTTTTAGGAGCTTGATGATATCTTGTTAGTAAATGCAGTAAAAGGTGAGAATAGAGTTATGACACTATTAATTTACATAATACTACGAAAAGCTTCATTTGTAGGTTCCAGTCCCTCAATTATTACGGTGACATTTATGTTATTTGCTTCCACGATATTTTAATCACCGTGTTTTTTACTTTAATTTAAATTTCTTCACCCTTCCTTCGTTCTTTTTTTTCCTTTTTTCCTGTAGAAGCAGAAACCATGGACAAACAAAACAAACCATCTGGCTCTAAAAAAAAAACAAGGAGAGGTATAAAAGCTAATTGAATAAAAAATAGTGCATAATAGTGAATGGTGACACTTTAGTTAAAAAAAATACGATTGTCTGCAGGCCAAAACTGTTTAAGTGCGAAAGTGCTTGGCACTAGTCCCGCGTGTCTTACATTGCTTGATTTTAAAATTAATGTTTTTTCATCGTAACTTGGTTAAGTTTTCCATGTAGGGGTATATCTAACCCAGATTGTATCGTCTCGTTAATACAGGAAATATACTGGATAGCCTAAAGGACTCGCTTACTGAAAAAGAACAGAATCTGCCTGCCAAACGATCAAGGAAGAACACCTCTAAGGTAATTTGCTGAGATAGAATTACGATCTAAGTTTGGAATCGTATTACTGCTTACGAAAAGATGGATCTTTTTCAGAAGAAAAACATTTATGACCATATAAATGGATGAGATGTCATGAACAGTGGCCAGTACGCAGACATAACATTTCGTAAAGTAGAAGTAGAGGAAGTTAAACAGAATCAATTTGCATTTTGATAAGTAAACAGTCACAAAAAATAGACTATTTCAATATTGGTTTCTCTGCAACCAAACATAGTAATACGCTCAAGTATACAATTAGAGATGTTTCTGAGGAAATGGCCATTTTTGTTATCTTTTCAGTGATTGGACATTTCATCTGAGGTGCGGAAGGGAAGCCAACGCCATTCATCAGGATGACTATGACGCCATTGCACCTTGCAGAACTCTGGGACTAAATACAACACAAATCCAGCTGTTATTACGAAGAATTTCTTATTTTCTTGAATATAGACATACATACTCTGGGACTAAATACAACACAAATCCAGCTGTTATTACGAAGAATTTCTTATTTTCTTGAATATAGACATACATACAGAAAACATTTCTCTATCTGCATATTTGATACTTAAAGTAAAATTATTTCTGGCTTCCGGACACCGAAGTCCTCCGCGACATTTGTAAGCTTCAATGTTCTATTGCTGTAATTGGTGTAACTAGAGGCCATTTCCTTCCTTAAAAATGTTATCAAGCGGTTATGGACATGAATGTGACCTAACGATATTAAGATCCTTTTCCAAAGAAAACAATGATAGAAACGGAATTCTGTAGTAGCTAGGAAACGCATTTTTTAATTGTCACATTAAACCTTGTGGAAAATACCGAAATGTGATGTTAGTTAAACGAGTTACGTCACAACATTACAAGTAGTTTTTGTTACATAGAAAATTACCTTTTAAATAGAAGGAAACCGTAAAATTCCAGTTTGATAGGCTGACAAACACTAAGGAGGAAAAAATAAGCCAGAAAGATACGAGGATGGTCAAGGATGGAGAAGATTGACGTGGGTTGCAAATGACGAACTTGAAAAAAATTGGGATAAGTTTTTCAATACGCACAAACCATGACGTAGCTCCTTTAAATAACTTATAAAAGTTCGCGTTATATTAATCAGGGTTTTTAATGTAGGATAGTCTATGTTGCCTCCACTGAGTAGACATAATTTTGTATTGCATTAATTCGACATTCCACTCCGACATTTTGTTATATCATAATTCATTTCGGGATACAATGATTCGCAAATGTATTTAAATTGTAACAAAATAATAAAAATGTAAACCATCGATATCGTTAAATAACTCACTTAATTTCTTCTTTTGTTCCTCTATAAGAGCGTAGTTAATTAAAGTGGAATGGTTGGGAAACCCTTTGTTATAGGTTTTTGTTGGCTTTTTTGGACCTGACCGTGCACAACGTTCAATAGCATTCCTATCATTTGGAAGTTTTTGACCAATAGAAACATTGCATGAATTTCTTCATTGATAATTTGTGAAAAGAAAACAAAGGATTGTGCACGGTCAGGGTGCTTCCAACATGACCCACAGCACCATTGTTTTCAACTTTGATGTTTGCCGGGTTTCCTAATCAGTCTCCTCTACTAACTATGATAAGAGTACGTACACACTGACCAGTTTGTCCTCGCGTATCCTTTGCGGGTTACATATAGCCTCTCTTACGTGGCCTAGAGTGTATGGAATGGGGTAGTTTGACGAGCAATATGCCTATTTCTGGGTGAATTGTGTTATCACTCTTTTCTGTACCTTTCTGGGTTTTTGTTCCCAACTAATACAACTGTTACTGCTATGAAAAATCAATAAGAATTCCCCTGGGAAGAACACAAGTTGACAGATAAACCGAGGTTAACCTCCGAGCTAACATATCACTCTTCACTGCTGTCCACATATTTCATCTGATACTCAGGATTGGAGGAATCTGTTTAAATATCTAGACAATTTTTCTACGGGACAGATCGTTAAAGTGGGTCCAAAGTAGGACGTACGGTTGTCAGTTAAGCTTCCAGTATTCTTGATAGTCGGTTCAGCTCAAGGGTGGAAATTCAAGTGACTAAAACACTGCAGCTCTATTTATTGCAGACGATATAGAGAATGTTCCCACAGACAAATACCATCGTGTAGGCGAAAAGTAGGCGTTTTGCAGCTGCACCGAACCCAAAAAATAAAAGAATGTGGAATTAAGTACGGTTTCTTTGTTCTTGCAAAAATTTGAGAAATTGAAAAGTCCTGAAGAGTTGAATACAATACAAGATTCCGAACAAGATGCAACCTCGCTAGGTTGAAAATTTATGCCAAACTACAGTTTGAAATTCTAGTTTACTGAAGTTTGAGGAAATAAGGAAAGTTTGGCTTAGAAAGTAGAATTGAATATGAAGAGCCTTTTAGTCTTAAAAACTTGCTAACGCAGCAAGCTCTTAACGAGGGTTTTGAAACTATTCGTCATTCAGTTTTAGGCTAAAAGGTGTGGTGGTCGTCAGCCTCCTTAATGAAATAGTTCGTTGAGGATAAAACATTATGGAGTACCTTGAAATGTTAGTAAAACGTAAATATATACAAATCGATGATGAAACGCTAACTATTAGATCGATGTTGTTTGATCTTATTCATTTAAAATACTACTGAACCAAAACAACAATAAACGACAAATGGATAAATATCCCTAAAATTAAATCCCAGAATATTGTTCGACAATTTCCAATTTCACCCTGGCGATCATTTCCCTCATTAAAATAAATTTTCTAGAAACATGAGTAGAATTAAATAAAATGATATAATAGTAATAATTAAAGGGCTACGAATTCTACCTTATCAAATGACCCTCTATTGTCATCATCTGTCGATTTAATGACTGACGTCGCTGGGATATCGCATTTATAGGATATTGCACTTGAAAATGGAAAGATAAAGGAAATACAAAGAATACAACAACAACAACAACAAGTTTATTTAGTATTACTATTTTTTAACATGGTGTTACTGGTACACTGAAATACAATAATAAGAAGACGAACATTGCGCGCAAAGGAGTTACAGATATAATAGAATGGGATAATTTTATGATTATTATTATCATTATGCTTCTTTCGTCTCTCAAATGCTAGAAAGACGAAGGTAGCAGTAAGCTTGCAGATGTACGAATCAGTATTAATATTAAAAAGAAAACAGTTTTATCATTAGTATTTTAATTTCTAAATAACGTATTTCGTCATTCATTTTAGTGAAAAGAGACTTTGTCAAATCATCATTTAAGGAACAATGAAATAATAGGTGCATTTATTTTTCAACAATTTAGACTGCAGTGATCACAAATTCTAAGGTCTTCGGGAGTTTTGCGGATTGCAAATCTTTCAGATTTGTGATTTCCTATCTTAAATTTGAAGGCGATGCGTTTATGTTCAGGATTCCTGATTTTCTAAATGAATTCAGAGTACTTTTTTTCGTTTGTATAGGTGGAGAAGAAGTTTAGTTTTTTTGTTTGCACTTATCCGATTGACTTGGTGGTTTTTAAAATGTACTGAAAAACTATAGGAAAGCAGAAGGGTTTTTATAAAATTAACTGATTTGTTTTCAATATTAAATTGTTTACATAAAAGATTTATTTTGTATATCAAACATGATTTTTTTACTTGAGGGTAGACAGGGTATACCGGGCACACAGGGTATACAGTGTAAACATGGGTATACAGGGAGTACATAAGTATACATGGAACGCAGGGTATACACGGGTATACAGGGTATACATCGATATACAGGGTATACAGGGTATACATTGGTATACAGGGTATACAGGGTATACCGGGTATACATTGGTATACAGGGTATACAGGGTATACATGAGTATACAGGGTATACAGGGTATACATGAGTATACAGGGTATACATGGGTATACAGGGTATACATGGATATACAGGGTATACTGGGAGTACATGGGTATACAAGGTATACAGGGTATACAAGGTATACATGAGTATACAGGGTATACAGGGTATACATGAGTATACAGGGTATACAGGGTATACATCAGTATACAGGGTATACATGAGTATACAGGGTATACAGGGTATACATGGGTGTACAGGGTATACTGGGAGCACATGGGTATACAGGGTATACAGGGTATACAGGGTATACAAGGTATACATGAGTATACAGGGTATACATGAGTATACAGGGTATACATGGGTATACAGGGTATACTGGGAGTACATGGGTATACTAGCTATACAGGGTATACAAGGTATACATGAGTATACAGGGTATACAGGGTATACATGAGTATACAGGGTATACAGGGTATACATGAGTATACAGGGTATACAGGGTATACAAGGTATACAAGGTATACAAGGTATACAGGGTATACATGGGTATACAGGGTATACATGGGTATACAGGGTATACTGGGAGTACATGGGTATACAGGGTATACATGGGTATACAGGGTATACTGGGAGTACATGGGTATACAAGGTATACAGGGTATACAAGGTATACATGAGTATACAGGGTATACAGGGTATACATTAGTATACAGGGTATACAGGGTATACATGAGTATACAAGGTATACAAGGAGTACATGGGTATACAGGGTATACAAGGTATACATGAGTATAGAGGGTATACATGGGTATACAGGGTATACAGGGTATACAAGGTATACAGGGTATACAGGGTATGCATGGGTATACAGGGTGTACAAGGTATACAAGGTATACATGGGTATACAGGGTGTACATGGCTATACAGGGTATACAGGGTATACAGGGAGATAAACAATCTATTACTATTACATGAAGGATATATCTATTTGGCGTAAGCGTAACATGAAAGAATAACCTAACTTCGTTTCACAGAATGCCATCCGGTGTACATGGACTCGGTCGGTGCTGTTAATAAAAAATATATCTTTGACTTATGGGCAGTCGTGGAATACGAAACCATTAAAACGTATAAATCTGTATGCTGCAAATCAGCTCTAATATACTGAATATACGATCAAAAGCAGTATTATCAGTCTTACCTGCCCAAGCGCTCTCAGTGAAGCCTCCAAAAATGTTTCCATCACTCTTCACAACAGTGACTGTAGGTCCTTGGTTGTCGCATCTCGAATGAAACGCTGAAGGAGTGAAACCATCTCTAGAAGCTCGGAACAGCAAACACCATTCGCCTGCAAGTGTAAACTCCATAGGTATCCAGCGTATCAATACATTTCGAAAATCTCTGCGGTCTGTCAAAATCACGGATTTCTGAAACACTTTCAATGCTCTTACAACCTTCAACTCATCCAGTAACCCTTGCACTTGGTAAAACATGGCTTCTACTTCAAGTTCCTCGAGAAATGTAGCACCCTCTGGCAAGATTAGTTCTCCGTTACGAAGATAATTTAATATAAAGCGGAAGTAAGTTCCATCTCGGTCGATAAAGACGGAACCGTCTTCAGTAGTCTCTACCTCATGCCTGCCTGAAAACATGGTTGCAAGCATCGAGTTGGGATCTCTTGCTAGCGTTTGCAGGCTTGTTGTAAAGTGAATACCTCCGACATTTAGTTTCACAATCGAAGGAATACGGCCCCCGAGAATATAGCCCTGATTCTGAGACATCATGGATTCGAAGGTTCCCGGCTGCGGGTAATTTGTACTTTCTTCTCAGGATCTGTTTGATGTTTAACCACTTGAATTGTTTTAGGATTTTTCTTCTGATGGCTTCTGTACATTGAAAGCTAACAAAACTACTCCGCACAAAGTGATTATTGGATTGTGGGACGCTACTTCCTTTTACGATTCCAAGGGACACAGGGTTCCGCTGACTCGTGCCCAGTCCTCTCTTATGAACTTATTCGTGGGGATCGAGGGCTGTTGGTCTGCGTACACAAGGAACCTTACGAAAACTACGACGGCCGCGACAGCAAAGATGGATAATTCATCCACGTATAAATCCGAAGACAAATTTTGACGAATAACTTGTCTAGATATTTATTTTGATATATAGATGTATTGTGAAAATATAGAAACCAGTCCTTCTCACGTGGCATGGCAACTTCGTCAAAAAACCGTCGACGTTCCGTCCGAGATATAAGATTTGAGATTATATGAGATATAAATTTAGAGACGGATAATCCGTCTAAGACGAATTATTCGTCTATTAGCACGTCTTTAGCCCGATAAGTTCCAATAGAGATTGGAGAAAAAGAAAGAGCGAGGAAAAAGGAGAAGAAGAGAAAAAGCAATTTTGCACTTTTAGTTTTTATATCGGCGACTTTGGAGATATTTTTTGCCGGAAAAAAGCAGTTTCACCCGAAGGTCCATCTGGCGGTAACGTTTTCAAAAATGCAGCTAGACATACGCTACTTGCACATCTTCCATAATGCACTTTAAAAGTGTCCCCAACATTGTGCATGAGCACTGTTTTTAATTTCATTTGCGGCGGCTGTAATATCCAGGAGAAATGAAAAACAAAGGTTATTCAAAATTTGGGGGGGCAAATAAGGTGCATAAGGGAGATGTACAAGTGGCGCACACAACATTTAATAAATATGTGCGTGTTCAGAACTTTAAACTGACCCAAGAATTTGCTTAAGATGTATTGTTTCTCATTTCCTATTATTTTTCATCACATTTTTTTCATTTTTTTTCATTTTTTCTATATCTCAAGAAGCGGGGCAATAATCAAGAAGCTTACCCTAGGATTTTTCCAAAGGTAAGCACAGTATTGCAACTCACCTAAACACGCGTCTCCCAATCGGCCAATTCGTTTTCATGGGCGGGTGACATGATTAAATTTAACTTTCCTTGTCAATATAGTGAGGTAATCATTTCTCTTGGTTTAGCTTTAGCGGGCTACAGATACGGCTTTCCGTTGTAAAAAAGTCGGGGAAAACAATGAGTATTGATTTTAAAATTATGTAACAGAAGTTATCGAAGTTACATGGACGACATTGGCAATTCCACCATTTTTCAGTCATATCTACTTTCCTTCCGATTGCTTCCTGTACCTTTAATTTTCGTTTGGTTTTATTCAGTGTCTTCATGCTAGGTAGGGTTTTCGTGAGCTGACGTATATGAAGGGGTTGGGGGTTTTGTCATTTAGGTTTTTTAAAAGGACCTTAAACTCAAACATTTCGAACTAACGCACTTTACTAGGGGCTAAAAAATAATTTATCAACTACATAAATTACATGATACAGTGGAACCCCGCATTATGGCTATCTCGGTAATACGGTCACCTCGTTATTACGGCCACTTTCATTTTTGGCCTCCCGGCGAAACGACCATATATTTTCTTGTAAACCCACCCGTTAATACGGCCAAAATTTTTTGACCCATTGGTGACCGCCCATTGGTTATCCTTATACTTTAATATCCGCTGCATCTGGATTGTGATTTATCCAGCAGATAGCGCTATTCAGAGTGTTTGAATAGCCAGGGCAAGGTGGGGCCTCCCCCGCATGAAGCGTTGTTGGCTAGCCTCTCCCAGGCCATTAACTACGTTGTAAGCATCTACTACATGTGTTCACCCTAGAAACTCAATACAAGCTTCTATTTTTGCCAAAATAAGCTTTATTCTTCGGTTTAATTTTGGCTTTGTCGAAACATCTATTGATTGACTAAATTCCATGAAACGGTCTTAAATTGGCCCTACCGTGTTCCTGGCGTTGCGTACGTTTCTGTTGTCACACTATATTTTACACGTTCGGAAGGGAAAAGGAAAGGAATATGACAACCTCGATAGAAAATATATTTTTTACGAAAGCCGAGGAGGGTCTTCCGACTTCCGACTTCCGACTTCAGACTTCAGACTTAAGATTTCATACTTCAAACTTCAGACTTCAGACTTGACAAAGTTCGAACTCTGGATTTCTGAATTCTGACCGTTGAGACTCAATGCTGCATGGTTAGACTTCTGACCTCCCACTTCTTGCTTCCCACTTCCCACTTCTGACTTTCGGCTTTCGACTTTCGACTTCCGACTTCCGATTTCCGACTTCCGATTTCCAACTTCCCGCTTCCCACTTCCCACTTCCAACTTCCCACTTCTAATTTTCGACTTCCGACTCGACTCCTCTGTCGGGCTCGATTGCCGCTCGATCCGCCACGCGGGTATTAATGCTCAAGGTCAAGGCTCAGTAGAAAGAACGGCTGTATCGGTCTAGCCACAAAAGAGAACAACTAAAGTTGCTCTTGTAAAAGCAACTAAGCACAAAGTCAATCAGGCAACTGGTGAGGTTCGCTTGGGGAACCGAGACCATGGTCTTGCCTGATCACAAAGTGACAACAGTGATAAGCTTATTAAAAACCTATAACCAAGGAAGGAAATACGCGCTCCAGTCAAAAGACTCACATTTTCTTTAGAAAAACACTAAGCTGGAATCTACTGGGTCACAATGCATTCTCCACAGTTGATGCAGCTTCATTTTAAGCTGTACTTCTTTCTTATCACTTTGGATCTGTAAATCACTACATCCGTGATAATTTATCATCCTGCAAACAAAACTAACGAGCTGGGCCCAGCGTGATACAGCATTGCATTTTCACGGACTAAAAACAGTCACATAGTTATTCAGATCCAGAAGGCACTTTGGGGAAAATTAGAGCCCTTACTCGGCCGTAATAAGGGACTGGTCATTATTTATCGGGAAGGGAGTGCTGGTGTAATTTAAAATATGCCATGCTTGATTTTTAGTGACCCCCCTTTNTGATGTTGTTATGGACCCTAACAATCCTGCTGTTGCAGCTGGCAAATATTTCAGTGAAGATTACGAATTTACACGCTCTGACCTACCTATATTCACTGTATATTGGAAAACAACTTGAAAATGGTTCAAGAAATTAAGACGTCCATCCAGAAGCCGGAGGAAGATGCAAAAAAAACATCTTTGTATTCATTTCTCCAAAGCAGGGAACTGCACCTAAAAACATTTGATGAAAAACTTATTGGCAAACTTATAAGGTTAAAGAAAGGGTGATAGAAATAGAAAAAAGCCTTAAGGAAAAGTTAGAGAAGACATCAAATATGTTCCAATATGCCCCCCATGTGAATGCAAAAACCAAAAAGCGTTCTCAGAAAGAGAACCGAAGGAAAGCCAAAAGAAGGAAAGTTTCAAGCCAACATACAGAAAATGCGAGAGTTTATTTCGAATGCTTCTGCATCTGAAGTAATTCAAATCCAAAACCTAAAATTGGAAGCTCTATCTACATTATCATTGTGTCAAGTAAAATATCTACAATTTATGTATGAAGATAGACAACTATCTACTGAAGCTGTAAACTCAGTGTAAACTTGATTAGTGAATATGTAGAAAATTTTCCAAGAAAAGAAAACACTAACCTAGAACCAGATAATGCCCATGATGATGACAGTAATAATGATGATGATGATGATAATGATGATGATGATGATGATAAAGACATCGATGATATTGATGATGATGCAGACAATGATGACAAGGGTGATGATGACAACAATGGTAATGGTGATGATGACAATGATGATGATTATTACATGCTGAGGACAACAATGATGATGATGGTGCTGGTTGTGTTTACAGTAGAAATAAGATCAATGTTGTAAGATACTGATTTGTAAGTGTTAATAAAAGTTGTTGTATAAAGCTATTTTAATAGGCTGTATTTGTTGATGGCATCCAGATGCAGCTTTTAACATTTTGGCTAGCAAAACATTTGCATATTTTTTAACAGCCCCCGCTTTAAGCCATGCATAAAAAATGGTGGCCCACCCCCTATTTGCACCAGCTACCCCCTCCCGATAAATAATGACCAGTCCCTAAAAAGCTTTAAAGAATATGCTCTTGAATCAGGGGGCAAATTCTGCCGACCCGAAGCAAAAACCACTGTAAATCGGTATGTGTGCCAGAAGTTGGAAGTTAGAAGTCGGAAGTCGGAAGTTGGAAGTTGGAAGTTGGAAGTTGGAAGTTGGAAGTTGGAAGTTGGAAGTCGGAAGTCGGAAGTAGGAAGTCGGAAGACTCTCCTCGGCTTTCGTAATTTTCGACAAATTCAGGTAGAAAGACAATTTTGCCCAACCTGTCACGCATTGTGTCACGAAAGTACTTGCATTACTTATCATGTATTCGCGCCTGTCACGCAGTAATAGTCGCGTCTGGCACAAATGGCGCCGGATGATGGGGATGCCTTGTTGAGAAAAGTACGAGCACAGCACAGATCAGTAAGTTTTATTACAGCATCAGAACTGGTTAACATCGACCTTGAAGATGAATCTCATCGGAACGAAGAAAGTGAGCTCAATGAAACGGTAAGAAAGCTGTTTCATAACGAACTGATGATGTTTTCAATTTTCATATAGTCCTGAAAGGGAATCTTTTGTTTCCAGGAAATTTTGCTTGCTGGAATATTGGTCAACGAGGCCAGACTTGGACGAAATGGTTATTTTCAGACCTCGCCAAAGGAACTAAGGTTCAGTTGTTTTTTGAAATTCATATAAGAGAATTAATGACAGTCTTTACGGTTTACATATTTCACTGGCATGTAAGTCTGTAGCCTAATATGATCTCGCATTAAGTAGCTTTTGCAGGAGAAATGCACATGTCATCGGCTTGGCCGTGGGGTCGACCCCGGGCCAACCAGTGTGATTTTAAAAAACAAAACTAGAGAAACAAACACTGTTCTTGCCGAACTGGAGAAATCCCCTGACTAATCCTATGCCTACAGGTTAACCCTGGACATAGCTACAGTCTTGGACAAAATAAATGGAAAATTTAGACCCCCTCTCCCAAATCAAAGATGGGAAAATAGTGCGTTTTGCCCTTTATGCGGCTTGATTTGTGGGGGATGGGAGTTTGCTGTTCTTTTTTTTCTGTCCAAAATTGTAGATCCCAGGTGGTAGGTCAATAATCTTGACACTTTCTGGAGATACAACAGTGTCAGTCTGTCAATTCCTGTAAGAAAAGTTGGACAGTTGACAATTTAAACTTTATTAAGTATAACATCTTTTATTCAGGGAACCTTTTTCCTTGGAAATACAATTGAAAAAATTAAGTGCTTTCTACTTTCTTTTCCTCCAAAGTATGGGGATTAAGCTTATCATAGTTAGCAACACTCATTGGCAAGGATTAGTTCTTCCTTTACCCCATCTTCATTCTGTTAAAATTGTATGGGAATTCTAATACATGTAACATTGTTGTTGTTACTCTTCACCCCCAACCTCCTATGCCTCACCTTCACCCCTCACCTCTACCCTCACCCCCATACCCCTTACTCTTTACTCCCTACCCCCTTCAACTTACCCCCTCCCCCAGATTAGACCTGCCAAAACCATTGTGCTCATATCATTCTGAAGACCCCATAATGCAACTCATTGGATTTTGTGGATATGATGCACTCAATAATGATATACAATGATAAACAAAAGCCTGAAGAGTACCCTGACCACCTGCAAACTCTGCAACACCAAGAAAAAACAAAAAAATAGACATGTATTGTTTTGTTTGCCCTACTCAACTGTCAGTCATGCTTATGTTTTCTGCACTGGACTTCTTTGCAGGCTTTACAAGGTGTATAATAAGCCAGTGTTTCGTGGTATTGTGTATTTCTGTGCATGGTTACTTCTCTGTTTAGCATTCTTTGAAGACCCAGCTGTCCCTGGGATGGGGTTACCATACTGGGTAAGTCACAATATTATTAAATCCTAAAATATAGTAGGAAAAAAGAAAAATAAGGCCGGGAACTTGATCAATGACCTTTTTCTCTACCTGGACAGAGAGATGGAAATGATAATGACAATGATTTAACAAGGAGCTCTACAATATTATTGGCCAATGGCAGTCCCCCTATTGTGGCAACTAAAACATGAGCAAAAATGTCATCAAATGAGGCCTTTATAATATATTGTACCTTACTTTAGCGTTTAATTAAGAAACCACCCGAGAGGCTTCCAAACCCCCTAGTGGAGTAACAACCTCTCTCAAACTTGTAATTAGTAACTTTGTCTCTTTTTTTGTTATATATCCAGAATAACTGCCTATAATCTTTAAAATATTAATTCCATTGTATCTTTTTTATTTATAGGCTACAATGCTGCTGGAATATTTTTGCTTGTTTGTTTTCATTCTACGTCTTTTCCATGTCTGGTGTTTTGCTGCTGGTGTAAAATTCTGGAGAGACAAGAAGAATGTTATTTTTTTATCCATCATTGTGGTAAGATTCTTACTGACAATAAAGAGAACTTATTGCAGATAGTGCATTGATAAAGGGATTGTATGTCATCCAGGTAATGAACATGCAAAGTAATGTCAAATGGTATTTTAAAACAAAAGAAAATTATTGACTTAGTGGCACAGGTAGACACCAGTAAAATAGCAACCACACCAATCATTTTAAGTAGATTTCTTTCATTGTTTAAATTTTTGTAGTAAGTGTTACGGTACTGCTAGTAATATAGCATAGTGGAGCCATTTTTCATGAATTTATGCCAATAAACCATTTACTGGCTTTATTAATATTTATTATTATTATGTTATAAAGATAAAAAAGGATATAAGATGTTCTTTCTTAATTGATTTGGTAATGAGCCTGGGTTGTGCAAGCTGTTAAGAAATTTCTGTTTGCTGGTGTTAAAAAAATATAGGTGTTGGAGTGCAGTGAATGAGTGTCATGAATATTTTTTAGCCTGAGAATTAAGAGAAACCTCATATAGATCTCCAAGTGGCCATGTAATTTTCTGTTTATTATATAAATACCAATGAAATACCAAACCATTTCACTTAAGATCATTAAAGTTGCCATTTATTATGTAGCCTAACAATGGCAATCTTTTCATGTGTGAAGATTAACAAGTTATAATTTTCACGCATGAAGAAATTGGGCTCTTTCTGACACTATTTTTTTCTTTCAGTTCACATTTCTTGACATGATTATGTACATCATCTTCAAAGAGGCTGAACTCCCAGTTCACGCCATAAGATGGACTCGTGTGTTTCGCCCTCTTTTTCTTGTCAATATCAGCGAGGGGAGACAGGTGAAGATTGATATAGCCTCTTCCAGGCATTCAGATAAGGTGGTAGTGCAAAGTAAAGAAAGTAAGGAAAAATAGAAAGGAACTGGGGAGAGTGGCATGGGAACCAAATTCCCCCAGGTTCATTTTTTCATCCCCTTTTACTTTGAACTGCTCCCTGCGATATAGTGTGTATGGTATAAATTTACATTAAATTTTGATAGAAATTCAGGGAAAGAAAAATAGATAGATCATCACTTGTACTGTCTAGGCTTTCCATGTTGAAATTATAATTGAAATTCCTTTTTATTTAATTTTAAAAATAACCTGTACATGACTGTTTTCTGGTATTCCTGATCTCTTTCAGATTAGAAGAGCTTTTAGAAACATTAGGAAAACACTTCCAGAGATTGCAAATGTTCTTATTTTGTTGCTTCTTATGATTGCATTGTTTACTTTGCTGGGATGTAAGCTGTTTGGCAAAAGGTATTTCAAATCATAGCATTTTATATATGTCAGCTGTTATAATTTGTATGGAGTTGGTTTTTTGTGAGAGATACAACTAGGCTCTAATTGGGCAACATTTTAGATAATTCCTAAACAAATTGTTTTGCTTAGAATGATAGATGAGTCCTTTCCTTCCATTTGTATTATTTCTCTTAAATGATAATAATAATAATAATATTTAAAGTAAAAAAGTCAGTCTTCTTTTAAGAGGAGACCTCCATCACTTAAAGTGGTTTTAAGGGGGTCCTCTTAAAAAAATTACAGAAACAAATAACTGAAAAATCCTCTAGGATAAAGTCTAAAAACAGTGAGTAGCATAAAAATTAAGAACTATGATAAAAATATAAACAATTAACCTGAGACAAATCACATAAAAACTTAGTCAAATTCCTTTTAAGAATCGTGTCAGGCATTGGCCTTTTTAGTTCATTTGCAAGAAGGCCCAATCGTTTTTCACACCTGGGTTCTTTTATTTTTGCCTTTGAATTTATTTGTTTGTGTTTTTGGTTTGTTGTAGAAATCTTAAAGACATCCATGGAAAGCCATACTTCACAAACTACTTAGATGTCTTTTTTTTGTTGTATGTTCTGACAACTACAGCCAACAACCCAGATGTTATGTAAGTTTGAAATATTACTTACTAGTCACTTGTAAGTAGTGAAATAGGCATGGAAAAAGGCGAGGGGTGGGAAGGGTGAGGTTGGAAAGAGGGGTTGGGATGGGAGGGGTGTGGTATTGTAATCCATTTGCTTTGTTTACGTTCTATACATGCATCAAAATGTTTTGCCAAAGAACGAGACCACTTTTAGTTCAAAATCATTCAACTATCTCGCAAAACAGTGCAACGTGAAACCAAAATTTATAACGCACCTTTTTCCATGCGGATGTAATCAAAAGCGCATAACATACTGTAGTTACACGTTTACCACCCTTTTATTTCAACACAAATCTTCATAGTAAAACTTGAGCACTGGAGGGCAGCCTGAGTAGTTAGCAGTTTGTTTGGCGAGAGGGAAAAAAAATCCGTGAAAACACGCCAACACATGGGGACAAGTGTCAAGGTGTTTTCTCCCCATTCTCCTCGCGCTTTTCCGCTCATTTGCGCACTCGACAATCAAAACGCCATCTACGTAGGTGTCTACTTTCAGGTTACTGAGTCAAATTTACTGTTCCAAACTCATAATCAATGAATTTGGAACGTGGTGTCCAGACGTTTGACAGGTGAAACAGGCCTATAAAGTTGCTACATTTTGAAATGCGAATTATAGGAGAGAGATCAAGTTTTCATAATATTTAAGGCAAAAAATATCAAAACGGTCATAGGAAATTCCAGTGAAAATAAACTTCGTTATTTATTTATTTGAACAGGATGCCTGCATATGACAACAATCCCTGGTCCAGTTTGTTTTTTGTCATTTTCATCATTGTCTGCATGTATATATTTGTCAGCATTTTTCTGGCTGTTGTGTACAAGAACTACCGCAAGCATTTAAAGGTAGATTGCCGTTATTTTTTCTAAATATTGTCTACTTTGCAGTTATGGTGGGGTATTATTTTCTTCCTTTCCACGCATTTATTTCTTCAATCCTTTTCATTTCTTCGTTTAGACTCTAAAATACCCTACTGCCATATTTCGGTTGCGGTACTAAGGATAAGGCAGCTTAAGCAACAAAGACGGCGACGGCAGCGAAAACGTCAGTAGCCTGTTCCAGGCGTTCATACTTCGCACCGCTCTTCACTATCTGAACGCTTGGAACAGGCTAAAACGTCAGTATTAAAAAACTTTTGCGTTTTTTCAAAGTTTGTCGCGACAGCTGTCGCGATTATTTCAGCTTTATTTAAGTGTCAAATGTGCCATGTAAATGTCGCTGAAATTGAGCTCTTGGGGACCGAACCTAAGTTTAGAAGGAGGGAGAAAAATTCGCTCATGCCTTCATTCACGCGCGTGGTCTTTTGCGCTTCGCGCGCGTGTCGCTATACGGACTGAGAAAAAACAGAGACTGCTCGTAGTCTAGTGGTGGTGTGTTTACGTCCTTCTGCTCCATAACACGTCCCGTGAGGGAGTTTCACGTTGTAGTCATGGAGTGACGGCAAAGAATTGTATGAAAAAAAGTGTGCTGCACGTGCAGTGATATTGTTTTGCTTGTTAAACCTATATATTGCGTTTTTGACGTCCTCATTGCTGTCGCCGTCGTCGTTGCTGGAGCTCTCTGTTGACTACGTAGACGGATCCACGGGGCGGATCCACGTATTTTTGTTCGGGAGGTTCCAACTTGTGCACCCAAGTTATGTCAACATAACTTGATTCTTCCACGCCGTTACATATTGGTTTATACGGCGTGGACCCGTGCTATAATGATGCACCCACTACATGTGACATTCTACAATCGCCTCTTGTGTTAAGCAATAGAATAACTTTCTCCAGATTTAATCAAATCGATTAAAACCCGTAGTTTTTAAGGTAGGAGATGAAAGTTTAAAGTGACGCCTCATGAGTTATTTTGGAGGTATTTTAATTTCATTGTAGTTAGCTACGAATTCAAGGTTTTGACGAATATATTCAACTCTTTTCCCAGGAGAGAATCTTAGGAACGAGGTTGGCAAATATTTAGGGGGCTCCGTATCCCCCTCAACCCTCCCCCTGGATCCGCCCCTGGTGCTATACGGGGAAAAATATATTCGGCACCGGCGATTTAGGACTAGAAGGCATCTTAGAACTAAGGTGCTAGTTTATACTTGGTAAACGGTGAATCAAACCTTCAGCGCGACATGTTTTAAGAACGAAAAATGTGCGTATGCTAGATGGTAGCCTGTTCCAC